GATCGTATAGAGAATAATAAAGGAAGTGATGTATTGTGATGACTCTTGTTGTTGTTGTTTCCAGGTTACATCCTCTAGTAGGGAAAAGTGAGGGGAAAGATAATCTGAAACGTAACCTACTAAACTGCTAATTACATAAGGCGCTTACGTAGCTATACGTATTACATCATCAATATTATAGTTATAAGCTGTAATAAACAGAGTATTTTTATATAAGGTTTTATACCTTAAATGTTATTAGTTTATTTTATATAGAATATTAAAGTAAGTTAAGCGTTATTATTATTCTTATATTGTTATTATTATTATTGTAAAAGAATGTTATATGTTAACAGTATATACTATAATTTATAGTATTATAGTATTATAGTATATTATATGGTATATAGTGTATTATATAGTGCTTATTAATGCTCTATACATAATAAAAAATTATAATATTTTAATATAAAATACTTAAGTTTAAATTTTATTTATTATATATATTATTATTATTAAATAAGTTATTTTTTAAACTTTTTATACTATAAATTTAGTAAAACTTATTAATTTAGTGAAGTTTATTATTTTAGGACGTACTTTAAGGGCCTTAGGTAAAACCTAAAAACCTAGTAAGCTTCTTAGGCTTAGGGTGAGGCTCGCCAGGTACCTGCTACTACCGCTAAGGTAAGTACCTTACCTCCCGTCGAGGTAGGTAGGTAAGGTACCTTAGGTAGGTAGGTGCCAGGCATATTATATCACGGAGGAGCCCAACCAGTCAGTCAGAGCAGATGCAGCAAGGTGCCTCCCTGGAATTGTTGTCGTCTTCATAGACCGTTGATTGTAATTTTGAACTTTTTCCCCTTTGTTTTCCCAATTCTGCGCTCCCTTGTTCCAGAGGGATGCCGAGCCTATGGCTTCTTCATACACGCGTCTGCCCACCTATGCCATCCCAACAACTCAACGCTCATGCTCTCTTGCCAAAGACACGCAGTCTCTTAACTCCTCCATCCGGGATGATGGTGATCTTCACGTGAGACGCCACCTTGTCCTTGATGCCGCTCTGGAAGTCATGCTCCTGGTCCGGCCCGCACTTGCTCGGGGCCACAATCTCAGTCCATCCGGCGGCGTCCGCTCCGGGCTCGCCGCTCTCCTTCCATTCAAGAGCATCGATCTTGACCTTCTGTGGGAAATTACCACGGAAGTGCGCCGTATCCACGATGATGTTCTGAATGTATCCTGGTGCGCCAAGGCGAACAATCGTCCAGTCTACATGACCTTTGGTGCGTGATCTAGCCGTCTCCCATCCGTCACCCATATCTTTGCCGCGGCCCGGCAGCAGGAGGTTATCCTTGGTGCCAAAGTGCTGGTCGCTGCACGAGATGGCAACACCGCCATTCTGCGCCGCCGCCAGGTCGAAGATGGCCTCCTTATCCTCGGGAAAGACAGGCACAGCGTGGCCGAAGAGGCGGAATCTAGCGATACCACCGTCGGGGTACATGTTCAGGCGTACGTGAGTGTACTGTTTCTGCTTGGGCTCGGCCAACCTCCAACCGAAGCGCTGAGAGGGGCCGCATTCCTCGTTGCCGAGAATCGTCTCCCACTGTCCTCTGCCGCCCTTCCATGAGACGACCTCCTCGTCGTTGAGATTGAAACAGCCCTCTACCGAGATTGAGGGAGCATGGTTGCCAGAGAAGAAAGCAGTGTCAACTTCAACACCTTCAACGGTTCCAGAAGCAACGCCGAGACGGACAATAACCCAGTCAAACGGCTCTGTGTTGTGCCGTCTGGTCTCCCAGCCATCGTACCAAGCGCCAGTGTAAACCATCTTGCCAGGCTGCCTGATGGGAGGAGTGGGCGTCAATAGGTTGGTAGCCTCCGCAAACCATTCGTCTGAGAAAGCCAGGATCTTTCCGCCGAGGGCCGCAGAGATGAGATCTATGTCGAAACAAGTCAGTCTCAGCCCAAGCCCCTATCTCAAGTGAGTCTCGGGGGAATAAAAGCGGATGAAAACTTACCGATACTGCTAGAGCGAAAGGTCTTGTCGATATCATCCGACGCGATCCTGGTCGTCTTGACCTGCTCAAGAGTGTACTCCTGTTCGCTTGTCATTGTGAAGGTTGACGGTGGTTTAAGGAGGGGTCAAGTGAGGGGTTCGATTCAGCTGATGAGAGTTGCGTTGTGTATTCACCTGCAGCGAACAATTCGTGACTGTGGCTTACAGATAAAATAGGCTGAATGGTGCGAGGGACCCGAGGGTAATTTATAAAGAATTGAAAAGTGCAAATGCCCTCTGAACAATGGGACGAAGGGTGGAAAAGCCTCGGAAGAGGGATGGTTTTGTCCCCGGAATGCCTCCCGCTGGACCCTTTTCCCCTTCCCCTTCCCGTGCCCCCAGGCGGCCAATTCCGACGTCGGGCGGCCACAGTCAACGGCCACATTGAGCCTTCATAATGTCGCGCCGGCGGCCAGACGCGGGCGATAAGCAAAGACGTAATGATTCGAGCGAATTAGCTAACACTGGGCCGTGGCCAATCTGCGGCGCTTCCCCGCATGCCACTGCATACGACCGGTCCAACAAGTGTTAATTACTGTCCCCGCTGTTCGGTCGGCGGGGTGCGCGTGTAAGTTTGACGGAACTCCCGCCAGCACCGAGGGGAGAGAAGAGACTCGCCCGTGAAGTTATTCGGAAGAAACTCCGTCTTTCCTGCCTGTTGATTGAGTTTCTGGTATCAAGGGGTACCAAGGATGTACCAAAGTACGTTTGCATTCCGCCAACATCGATGCTTCTCTTGCAAGGTGCATCATCAAACTCTCGACAACACGACACACATCGATGACCCTGCTGCTTCCCGATCTGATAAGGGCTGGGCAGAAAGTCTTCCTCATAAGGTGATTGCTTCACCTTATGGTTTCGAAGTAGCACACTTCATCAGGTGAATGAATCACCTTATAGTTGCGTAAGTCGACCGCCGTGGGGGTTGCGATGTCGCAGCGCTTAGGATAACGACGTCCCCGACTTCTCTCAGGTGAATGCATCACCTTATAGTTTCTAGAGGCAGTCTTCATAAGGTGAATCAATCACCTTATAGTTTGGTAAGATCCACCAGAGGCATCGCTTCGTCGGCTGCACGTCGTGTAGCGCGGCTCTTGCGGCCCACTCCACCACCACGCAACTACGGCCACAGCGAGATCAGTCATGCATCGTCACGTGAAGCCGTTGCAGACCCTGGTCCTGTTCTTTGAAGTGGAATTGGAGACGCGAGGATCCATCGTCAGTCCCCAGCAGGATGGATGACACGCACACTCCGGTTGTGTAGTGTAGTGGTTATCACTGTAAGCACACTCTTCGTCGCAGCAGATTCCGATACCTTACTCTCTCGTGCTGACACCAGCTTCCAGCCGGATTTTGATCACCTACAGCTGTCAAACATCTTCCGGCAACCCCGGTTCGAACCCGGGCACGACCTTATCTTTTTGATCGCGATCGCTTCATTGGTTCTGCTGGTTTAACGTTCAGAGGTGCAACAGTCTCTAGACAGTCCCGAGCACGCCATGCCATGCGAAAGGGCCCGGACGCTGGAAGGCAAACGAAGTGGAAGCGAAAAACGAAAAGCAAAGTTGTCCATGGCTCCGCTGCAGATTCACATCAGATCCAGACTCTGCAGCGCCTGGGCACAGCTGACAGCTGGAACAAGACCTTGACCTGACCAGACATGACCTGACCTGTTGCCCGCTGCGACTCCTGTACGTGCCGGGGGGGACGGACCATCCCCCAAGTTACCCCACCATTCCAAGCCGGAGCCCCCTGCAGGTCCTTGTTCAATCAGAAATACACGGGCTCCGATAGGCCACAGCTCGAGACGAGCTCTGCCGTCATCGATGCCGCCATAGGTAACAGCACTTCGCGCTGTAGATGACCACCAAACGCCGACATGCCGATATTCCCTCCTGCCCTCCTTCCCAACTCAGGTGCTGCCTCTTTACCCCCTTCGAAATAAATTGCACCGCCTCTTTGGCGCACTTCGTTTCTCTCTCATCCTCCCACCGACTCCAATTCATCTCTCAGACGAGACCTCAGCGTATAGAGACCATCCGTGGCTGGTGCGATTCGCAACGCTTCTAGATAAGACCCGACTCAGACAGATACACTACAGAAAAGCTGCAAAACATGTCTTCTGCAACAGGACTGCCCGAGCCACCTCCAGGCGAAGACCATCGTGGCCACGGCCACGGCGAATTGGAGCCTCTGCTCGGACGGCCTGGTGACGCCCAACAGCCTCCGGGCCAGTTCATTGCGAAGAACCTCGTTCTTGGTACGTTATTGTTGTCTCTTCGTGCTTGCCGTTGCCTCGTCCTCTTCAAGCCTTGACTGACAAGACGTTGACAGGCACCGGTGTCGTCGCCCAATTTGGTGCTGTCATCTTCGTCGCCATGATCTGGGCTGCCGTCCTCACCAAAGATGTGATCCTTTTCTCCGGCCACCCGCTGGCCCAAAGTCTCGCCATCTTCACCCTCATCCAGTCGATCCTCTCCCTGCAGCCGACCCATACACCCGATCAGAAACGTGTCGGCCAGCGCGTCCACGCTGTCCTGAATCTGCTGGCGTTCCTTTTCCTCGTCGCCGGTGTCTCGATTATCGAGTACAACAAATTTCTCCAGGGCCCGGACTCCCACTTCCACTCCGTTCATGGCTACCTCGGCGTCATCCTATCCATCTTTTTATTGATCCAGTACGTCGTCGGTTTCACCATGTGGGCTACCCCCAAGCTTTACGGAGGCGAAGACCGTGCCAAGTCCATTTGGAAGTACCATCGCTGGAGCGGCTATGTCGTGCTCGTCCTGCTCCTGGTCACTGTTGCGACGGCTACTGACACGCCCTACAACGCCAATGTCCTCAAGTTGAAGTTGTGGGCCGTCATTGTCACGTCTCTCCTGATCATTATTGGCGTCATTCCGCGTGTGCAAAAGCAGAAGCTTGGCATCCCTTCTTAAACCCTCAAGACATAGGATTGTCGCATGGGCAAACTGGGTTTGCAAAATCATCTTGAAGAGAGGAATTGGTACGGCCTGCGGGAACAGACAGGAAAGAATAGAAGAAGGCAGTTTGGCCGTGCTTCAAACCGCATGAGCTGCCTATATGGATGTTGATTAGCTCCGCCATGCTTGGATTGCTTTTGAAATGGGCGTCGCTGCAGGCGTTCTGCGCATGGTGGGCCAGTGGGTTTGGCTTGACTTCTATTGTGAGCGGACTGTCTTTCTAGGCGCAATATTCGTTAGCATCGGATCTGCATCATAAGATACTTCCAGAAACGATGCTTCATCTTCGTCGGCATGCGTGGTTCTAAACTGCCCGTCACGATCTACAACTTCGGATTGCTCAGATGGAGGGAATCTCAAGTGTCAGCACGCGCACCTTTCCCCTGACGTTGCGCACTTGGGACCAACTGTAGTTCGGACTACATTGTCCTTGACTCATGATGTGCGGCGGTTGATGCCTGTGACGTCCATGTTCACACAATTGCCTGTCGTCCGGAAACATCTAGGTACCGTCGTCATATGTTTTCTGGGTCCTGCCAGTTATGCCCGATACTTACCGGCCCCTGCTATGTGTGACTCGACTTCCATACGCCTCTTGGTCGGATAAGAGATTCCCAACCATGAGTTGGAGCAGACTCTGTTCTGGAAACAACGTAGCATCCGCTTGGTTTCCATGACATCACTTGTCGCCATGCCTTTAGCCCACACGATGGCTCGTGTGGAATGGATTTATCATTATATCTCCGGGCTAAAGATGTTGAGGAAGTTTCGAGCCCACCCAGTAGGGGTTTTCACAGTAGGGAAAAAAGCAGTAAAAGCACCTCGGTCAGTGCCCATTCCAGCCCTGGGCTAATGATAGGGCTGTCTGTATTGTCCAGACTACGGCAGAAAACGTGCTGTACCTTGTCGTACCCTTATTGGAGTAAGTCGTCGTGGAAACTTCCATCAACAGGAAACGTATTCGACAGTCCGGCTTCTTCTACGTCGATTGGGTGACTCACTGATCGAATATGCCTGAGCGAAGTAGCATTTAGGTTCCCGATAACATGCTCTCGATGCCCCGGCAGGTAGTTTTCCTTAGGCTAATATATTCCTCACGCTCCAGCGACGTCTTTCTACATCGCTGTATCTGTTGATCTTGATGTCACAGGAATCTCTCTGACTTGTTTCTGGACAAGAGTAATCGTGGTTTGTTTCGTAGTCTCGGCACCATTACGAGGGGATAAATGCAGCAATCTTTGGTCTCGGATAGTCAAGACCACGTAAAAGACGAGGGGGAGAACCGTATATGACTTTTAAGTAGGTTGAACAAAATCATCTTACAAGCTTGGGAGATCAGCATTCCCTTCTGATGCAGGCCTCGGAACCAGCAGGCAAGTCGCAGGTGTATCTTGAAGCGACCGTGAACAGCTGATACTGTTATTTCCTGTGAATTTTTGGGATTGATGCTGCTGAAGTTAGCTGCAGCGTCTTTAAGCCATGCGTATTTTTTTGGGGGGGAAATATGTTTCGTGCCCAGTCCAGCGGATTCATGACCTGGCAAAAGGAGAGCCTCACACTTTCTTTTAGTGGACGTGAAAATGAATGTCGAGGGAAGCGATATGAGATTTCACTAGCACGAGTGCAAGTGCCACTTATTTGATTTGTTGTCCTAGGTGTCTGTTGTTTTCACGGTGAGACCATTCGATGTGGAAGACACTTAGTGCCAACGGTGTGTGATAAACGAAATCTAGGACGCCGAGTTCAAGACGTCGAAGAGAGCATACCAATGCCCAAAACAATCTAATTCCTAAATACCATTACAATTAGCCAGAATGTGTCAAGACGTTTAGTTGCTTCGGTTCAACTTATCGCAATTCCTTAGGAGTGCCTACGCCAAAGTACGAAGCCTATACGACGGCTCAGGAGTATCAGCCAGCAGTATCCCAGCTGTGCCACATAGTTGCAAGGCTGATCAACTCGTATTGGAGCGACAGTGACCTCGTTATGATCCCGTGAGTCTCCTGCTAAAACCGACATCCGGGCTGAGTGTGTTGGCCTGAAGGCGTACAATACAGGTGATACTAATCATCGCTAATGATTGATAATGACAAGCTGTTACTTCATTCCTTTAATCCAGACACTAAAAGTATACTCAGCGTGATAAAGACCAGCAGACCTAACAGTGAACTAGATTTTTAACAACTAACGAAACGATTGATTATATTCTGATTAATCTAACGTTAATGTTGTAAGCCTCTCTACCCAAGTATATAATTCTATTGCGGTTAACACACTATTACATACGACCATACCCACTGGAGAACTCGGGATCCCGTCCGCTCTCCCATAGATAAGCTAGTGAGGGCTGGAGTAGTAGTCGGGTCGGTGACGACCGGCGAATGCCCGGTGTTGTATGTTTTGGATCCCTTTTTGCGCAAGTAGTTTGACAACATTTCCGTTTTGGCATCGCCAATGAGCAGACAGCTGGGCAGGCAGCTTACCAGTCGAAGAGAAGTTATTGACTGACTACCTACAAAAGTTGCGGCCGTATCTCTACCGCATGGACACAAGGCTAGGCATTAAGTCTGCAAAAGCATTCGCCCTTTTGGGAAGGTGGGCGGGCCGGGTCACGACGCCGTCAACTACGGGCTTACCGCAAGGCACAAGAGGCTTGAGTCTGAGCAGTCTCACTCAGTTCCCAGCAAGCCTGGCACCGCCTTGCCCAAACATCTTTGAAGGGTGCCATAGGCGAGAACTTTCACTGCCGATGCCAGGTAGAGTCTGTGTTGCGCTCTACCGGGTCAGCGCTAGCTGGACGTTGCGCAGCTCCTTGGGCATCAGACAACAACCTGGGACCGTTTCAAGATATTCCAATTTTGATGGAAATCATGTTGATACAATAAACTTTACCAGCACTCAGCCACGTATGGTTGAGGGTGTCAAGTCGCTGGTGGCGCAAGAGTAAAAGCCCTTCCCCACGTTACAGTGACAACACGAGTGGAAGGCATTGTTTTGGTGGTATTTACAACATGCGACTGCCAGTCACTGACCAGTCAAAGTCTGAGGTAGTTTTTCAGCTCAAGATCTGCTGGGCCTTTGGCTGCCCGTAATCAGAGAGTGGACCGAGCATCATTTCAGAGTCAAGATGCCGGCTCATCGAGACCCGCAACGGAGTTACGACGAAGGAATTTGAAGTGAGCGGAATACTGAGAACCACAGAGAGTTACAGTAGGTACATCTGGCGCTCCTTTACTGCGGTCGCGACGTATCTCATGGCTCTTTGCGTTACCGAAGGACTGGAAACGGGCTGTTGTGACATCAAGCGCTAAGCCCGGCTCGGATGAGGGCAGGGGGATGGGCTAGACCGGTGCGGATACAGAATTGTTCGAGGCTTCCAGACGGTAATTTCTGAAGCCAGAGGTTGATTGGCTGGAATCTCGCCCCAAGGCTCCTCGATTTGCGACCACACCACCCAAAAGAGGTGAGGCGTTCGTCGGCCGAAAATGCCCCTTGCCCTTCAAATTTCGACTGGTTCTGACACGTTCTCGATGAATCGTCTCGCAAGTGGGGAACATACCGTGACCTGACGCCAGATGCCCCGATCTCTGCGGAGGATATCGCCCGCGGCGCCCCTTTCGCTGGTGGATTCCAATGGGGGCCCACGATTTTGGATGTTCCGTCGGTGAGGACGAAGTGAGGTTCTGTACGGATAGCAGGCGTCGATCGGCGATGCGGCTGAGACAGCAGATGTGGCTGATATGCTGTGGCTTGCTGGGAGCCACGCAAACGGGAAACCAACTGATACTAGGTACAGTCAGGTTGTCGCCAAACTCCTGATGCCGGCAGGAACCGTAGAGCAATGGATTTGGTGCCGAGACATGCGCGGGCTGTTACTTTGCAGCGAAGATACACCATGGGTGAGGATCAGGACAACGATGATGTCTATTCGCGACGGTGGATCAGCTGCCCTGATGTTGCGGCTCATCATCGCACTGAGCGGCAACGAGTTGAATCGCAAGTTGAGTTCCGGGTGTCGGATAGCTCGATAGCAATTGCGTATCGGAGCCAATAGCGGCGGCAAAGAGCACGGGCGCATGGGTTCAGAGGACGGAAGAGGAAGGCTTCCAGAGCGCTGCCACGCCTTGACAGAGAAGGACTGGGCAAGCGCCATGCAGAATGTAGGAAAACCACCGATGATCGTGATGGGACGGTGCCTGCCGGGGCGTTGCTTGGGAAATGGGAAAGGCAGCTGGCACGAGCCCAGGAGTACCATTTCTCGAAAATGCCCATCTGTCAGTTGGCCAAGAAAAGAGCTGCCACCAGCATCTAGATCAGCAGAAAACAACAACAAAAAAACAGACCAAAAGGCAAATGAGCTCAAGAGGGCTGGAAGAAGAGGGGAGAGTTACCCCACTTTCCATTCCATTGGGCTAGGATATCAATTAGAGGGAAAAAAGCCTCCTTGCTAATGATGCACATTGACGTCATTTGGCGCTCACCTAGCGTGGGAGGAACATGCTTCAGGGGTCTGAAAGGTCATGCGTTGGTCGAGGCAATAGAAAAAGGGGAAAAAAAAACCTGGGAGATGGGTTCGAGCGGACGCCGTGTCGTGCTCAAGACTTGGATGCAGCGTACCATGTCCCAGCAGACAACAAGCAACTAGCACCCGCAAGCTCTGCTGGCCTTCGGAGCAGTGTCCGTTAGCCTCATGTCGTGTCGTGTCGTGTCGTGTCGTGTCGCTGTGAGACGCCTGGAGAAACGAGTCGAGCTGCCGCTGGGAGGGAGGGCTGAATCGCGACGAGACCTATTTCTTCAACCGGGGACGACGCAATACGTCGGCAAGTCGTCCTTGCATGCGAGCGAGTGTCTCGAATCCGAAGTCTCTGCCTTGTGGATGCAGCGTCGTGTTGCAGAGCTTCTTCATCCTTTCCTAGCAGCACGAGGAAAAGCTACGGATACGTGTAAGGAGCTCC